TAAATGTTGGATTACATGTTTGCATTACATTAATTCAAAATAAAATTACTCATCATCATGAAAATTGAGAATTTTACATTAATTTGAAATAAGGTTATTGTGGATAGTGTTGAGTTCCATATAATTTTTCAACCTCATTAATAATGAATAAGTAAAAATAATAAAATAATATGTCTAGATACATAGCAAAATAGATGAATCAAAAAAGTCAAAACGACATTTATTTAAAAAAGGAGGTAGTATTATTTTTGACAAACATGTACAAAAGATTGCAAATGATCTATGCTTTTCTATTTAAAAAAAAAAAAGACACCTACAATTTTGTATTTTATTTTAAAAAATCTAAAGAGACGTAATATTCTAGGCTAATTTTCAATCATTAGAACTATTAGTTATTAATTTATAAAAGACACACCATCACATCTAACATTATTATATTTTATATAGAGAATGATATAAATATTTTACGCAATCTTAAGTTGATAGATCAAATCTATATATATAATTGCTGTCTCATGAGGATTTATTAAAACCTATTAAATTATACCTATGTGACAATATAATTTTTTTCCTCAAAAAACCGTTACTTTTTATTTATTTAATCTCTCATTTAATTATTAGATAATCAACACACTAATCACTTCAAAATTACAAAAATCATTTAAAATTTTTGATTTACTTACCGCTGAACATAAAATGTGTTGACTATTTAACGTGATTATTATTGTTGTGGTTATATTTAAATTAACTTTTTTTGGAAAATAAAAAAATGTATTTAAAATTTTTAAATAAATAATAAATAATTCACAAAAAAAGATACATTATGCATACGAATAACTCACAATACTTTATTTATATATATGTGCAAATGCACGGGTCGAATACTAATTATTTTAAATACTAACACACGGTGTCATTACTAACATGTTATAAATTCGAGAGATCCAGGATCAATGAATAAACGTACCTCATAACGCAATTCATTAGTTTTCATATATATAAAAAAAAGTTAAAATAAAAATATCCAATTTATTATTTTTAATTATTTATAATGACATAAATAAATAAAAAAATATTGAAATAAAGCAATAGTATACTCTTTTTAGTTTTGATTATCACACCAATAAATAATTGGGGTGGGGTTTTTGGATGAGAGTCGATCACCAAATACTTTTAATATATTTGGGGGTTTTCGGACGATTAAATCAACTATTTTTTTTTTTTAATATATTCACCGGTGTATTATAAAAATACAATTAGTTAGTCTATTATTGCAAGAGTCTCGGAATTATGTATAAACATTTTGAGCAGAGTATAATCCAATTAAGGCAAAATAATTGTATTTTGTGTCATGTAACTATGCGCGTGTATAAATATGGACAACTTCTTTTTTGTTTGGCAAAAGTTCCCCAAAGCTTATTAAAACCCAGAATTCGTGCTCAATTTAATTACAAGTTACTGGATTTGATTGGTTTTTCGTGTGGCAAAACAAGACAATAACTTGTTAAATTTCAAAATTTGTGCCCAAATTTGGCACGAATTTCGGATTTAACAAGTTTCAGGACACTTTTGTCGAACCCAAAAGAAGTTGTCCACATTTGCCACACACCCTTAATACAAGGCATAAAATACAATTTTCCCTCCAATTAATATTTCCCCACGCCTAACTTTTTGTTTTCAAACTTGTTTTAATTCATATATATTTTACTATCAGATATTAACAGCCTGATTATAATAAATCGGCTATTTATGTTTCATAAATCAGATATGGTATAAATAAGAGAAAACAAAAAGGAACAAAATCAGCTATTTATGTTTCATAAATTAGAAAGATAATACGTAAATAAGAGAATAATAGGAATAATGAACATTAATTTAAGTAAAAATACTAGTGGACTGTCAACAAATGTCAAACGAATCCAGTCCTCTATCATCACTTTTCCCCTTTTAGTGCCTATAAAAATCTACTTATAAATAAATATATAAATAAAATCGAGCGTTATTAGGTCATCGTTGAGAACAAAAAAAAAAAAAAATCTGATTTTCAATAATTGCATTATTCACAGGCCGGCGCGCACATGAAAATGCAAACACAATGTCAAATATCCCCATTTGGTGATTTTATTTCTATAAAGACGATACAGCCCCGTTACGGAATCATTTCGTTTCATCAATATTTGTAATTGTTGGTTCAATTTATCTGACGATTACATGATGACCTAAAGATTACAAATCCCGACGGAATGATTCCGTAAATCCAAAAAAAAAAATTGTGTACGGCCAAGACTAGGCTACAATAATAATAGTTTAGTCACTGCACGCAAAGGCCTATAAATAATAATCATGACCACCCTCAAACTTTCAAGAAAAATACAAACACCCACCTCACCCAATAAAACTTTTTTTTGTCTTTTCTTTCTTGAGGAGGGACCAAATGTGCATGGGATAAATAATCAGGCCTTTTTTTTTTATCAATCCTGTCTGGTCCCTCAGGATAAAAATAAAAATATAAAGAAAGAAAAAAAATGGTGAACTCCTCCATAATTGTTAAAATCCTTATTATTTTGTGCAAGCTATTTGTGTTGGGGAGTTGCACCAATAATATTAATATTATCCCATTAATGTCATCAATCAAGGATTATGATGAAGAATCTCCTCAGCCTTTGCCAATTGACACCATTTTCAAGCTTCCTTTTTCATTGCCCAAATGGCCACAAGGTAATATATTATTGTGTGTATAGTGTTCCCTCATGAAATGCTCATTTTTATTTTTTTTTTATTTTTTTTTTATTTTTTTTATTTTTTTTTATTAACAATTCTTTCGC